GTGTGTCGCGTCGAGAGAGTTGTCGAGGGGAGCCGCGTAGTACAATTGAAAACCAATAAATATTTTTACGAAAAACGTTTACTTCTACCATTGAGGCACACCGAAACGTTGAATTGTCTACAACAATCATTCTCTAAATAAAGCCTTAATTTTTTTATACATGTAACATGGTAAATAAATTATAAGATATAAATTACATTCATATAAACATTGATTTTTTTTGTCATTTATAATTTGGGAGCCGTCAACATTTTGTGAAGACTTAAAGGAACCGTGGGATGAAAAAGTTTGAATACCTCTGGGTTAGGTACATCTTACAGACTATAATTTAGTAATAGTGGAAATAATTAGCAAAAATTAGTATTTTTTTTGAACATACCTGAATGATTGCCATTGGTTTGACTTAGGCAGATGAGGTAAAATGACCGATTCATCAATGTATAATTGTATGAAGAAATTATATTTTTTAACAAAATAGGTTTATGAGAGTTGAATGTATGTTTGTAGCTCAAATAATATATACTTAAAAACTTCTTGGTAATTGACTAATTTTGAGAACATTTTAAATTGTTCTTAGAGATACCAGGAAAGTTTGGAGAGTACCTAGTTTCAATAACGTTTGATTTAAACCAAGTGCTTATACAACCATACAGGTAAATTGTCCATCTCAGTAGAATTAATTCACAAAACGAGGTACACCTCCTCCGATTTGCACATGAACTAAGGTTCATTAAAATCGAGATCCATCTACCTATAATGCTTTATAGCACTTTATAGTATATATTTTCAATTTTTCACAGGCGAATTTGGGTTATACAGTTAAAAATGGATGTTATTTTTTTTGAAGTTAACACACTCAAAAACTACTGAACAGCTTTCAATAAAATATTTATCAATAGATTTCTTGAGACTTGTAGGTGTTAGAGTGCTTACTGCTTACAGCTTATTTTTACAACTCTTAGAGCCTGTTGCCAGCTTAAGGTAGTTTATACATACATATTTTTTTCGCTCACAAAAATAGAAAATTTTTTTGTTTATTTAAGTGGTTGTCATTGGTTACATATTATATTACTTTTATAATTAGTAGAAATATGACATATTATACATTGTTTACAAATATATTTTTTTTTAAAACAAATCTTTGTCATAGGCAACGTAGCTTGTATTACAATGTCTGATTAATTATAACTTTTTGTTAAAGTCACAGTTCGGGTGCAGATCTGACACAGCTCAGTTGCATGAACCCGGCAAATCAGGGCTTCGTGTTTTTTACTATTCTTATGGCTTTCAACCCAATTTTATTATAAAGGTGGTTAGGTGGGTAGGTAGGTGATAGTGGTCTTTATTATCAAGATTTTTTCATTTTTTCATTCAAAAACCTAACGACAGCCCTGAGATCGGTATGATGGACGTAATAATTGATCAATTTAGCCTTAATATTGCCTATACATAGTTCCTTAAAAACAATCCATTTTTAATCTCCAGATCGAATTATATTATATTACGGCTATAAAAAGGTTGGTTTTAGAGCTATAAATGTATTTTTTTACTGAAAATAAAGGTAAAGTGAGAGAATCTTAAATGTTGTCCTATATTATATTCAGTTTTTACTCGTTAAGTATATTTCACAAAATTAAAATGTATATGTACAATATAAATACAAAGCACTTAATGTTTTTAATTTTCATGATCTATTTTAGATAATTTAGTCTTCGTGTATAAAGTTAATCTTAAAGAGCATGTTATAGAACATAATTATAGCACTAGGTCAAAACAAAAATATAACTTATAACACCTATTCGTACTACAATTTTTGGTTCCAAAAGTTCAATTTTTTCCTTAACGCGTAAATACAATAATAAAATTTATAATTTCAATAGCTATATGGAATTTAAAAGACATATTAATAATGTATTTAAAAAATAATAGATTTTATTATTGTTTAAGTATTTGTTTTTTTTTAAATTTAAATTTTGTTGTTTATTATTGTTATAGCAATACAGAAAAAATTGTGTTTTTTTCTGTTTATTGTTTTGATATTTTTCATAACTAGATATTAACTCATCACAACTGTTTACAAACTCTGCTTATTAGTTCGGTTTTGCTGTTTAACTTTATGTTATACATATTTTGTATTATATTTTATCCTATGGAAAAAATAAAGACATGATTATTATATACATATTTTAAAACAATTGTTACTTTTTGTCAAACAAATATTTAAAATAAGCATTACAAATAGTATGGTATACCTACTTTTTTGAAATTTTCTTTTTAATTTACACAATATTGGTGTCTAATCAATTACAACTATACCTAATAGTTGCTTAAAAGTAGTATTATAGCATTTTATTTGCGTCAACATGTTCATTTACTGTAAAATATGATCGATGAGACTTCCTCTTAACATTAAAAACATAGTTTTGAGACGATTATTATAGAAATATATAATGAGTTTTTAATGACCATAATTATAAGTAATAATATTACATTATAATGGTGTTATTTTACTTATGTTATAGAAAGCGAGTGCAAACTTCATGTCATCATTTTATAGTATTAATATATTATAATATAAAATAAAAGTATAGGTACCTATATTTTATACTTTTTATCTACAATCTATACGACGCTACGACGGTAATAAAACATTGAAAGTAAATATTAATTTATAATATATTTTGTATCTAATCATATTTGTACATATTATTTGTAGGTACATTGTACGCACACCGTTAACAGCAGAGCATTAACTCTATAGAAAAATAAATAAGTAGTCTCTCAAACTGCAAGAGCTAACTGCTAACTATACCTAGAGTTAAACTATATTACAGTTACTATATTTTAAAACATATTTATTATCGATACTTGATGTGTTAGTAATATATAAATGCTACTTATTTATATCGTATAATTCTCACACACATATATTGCATTTAGCTTAGTCCAAAGGGTAAGGTTTTATGAAAATTGTGTCCTGTCTTGTCTCCTTTACGTTCCAATCTAAATAATGGCGCCATTGAAATTTTAAACTATTACTATGTTGATAAGCGAACAGTCACTATTAATCTCGAATAATTCGTAAAAATGGACTAGTTATGTAATATTTTGATAGAGCCTAGGTCAAATAATAATTACTAGGGAACGGACTTTATTGCAATGAAAAAATCAAAATAAGTACATCAATATTATGTAATAATTTTTATCAAAATATGTAAAAAAAATTAAAAAATGCATTAGTATTGGAAATTAAAAAAAAATTAAATATTTTATAAATACAAATAATACAAATGACAATTTTAGTTTATACAACTATGAGTTTATTGCGGAACTAAACAATGAGAAACAACATATTGTTGAAGGCTTGCAAATTAAAAATTGTGACGGTTTGGTCGGAAAATACTCATCTTGTATTGACTAAAAGACCGTTCTACGTCAACAAATGTGATAGGTACTATTCATGTTTACCCTATCAGAAGGAGTGAATTCAATGTTGAGAGTTTCTTGTTGATTTTTACCAATTCAAATATCTCTGATGTTTTTAATAGTTTGAAATCCAGAATTTGTTCAACTGTGTTTTTTATTTTTCAACTATTTTATATTTATATCTTCCGGCATTACAATATCGACAATAACTGAACTAGTTCTAATCTGTGTAGTGGCATGCTGCGTGCCGGAAATAAGTACGTAAATGCCATTTAGATAACGTATAATATTTGGGGGCCATCAAAAATTACTAATCTTGTTAATTTAGACTATACAGATAATGTTTAGTCATCGAAAATCAATGAAAAAATCTAAAATTACTAAAATTACCAAATATGTAAAAATATGTACTCTTACCAAAATACTCATACGTAAAAATATGTAAAATAAATGTTGGTTTGTTTCAATTAGAATGATTTGAATCGTACACATTTTTTATCAAATTATAAATATCTTATTTCAATAAAAATATGTATTGACAATAAAATCCGTTCCCTAATAATTACTAATAAACCTACATTTTATAAGTAGGTGTATTGTACATGAAAATGTATCATTGTTATTTCATCATTCACAACAATAGAAACTTTTGAATAGGTACACTATGGAACTATGGAAGTTCGAAGAAACGAGAATGTATTATGCAGAATTGGTAGGTCCTTAAAAAAGTTACTGGATAGTACATAAATATCTTTCTTATATATTCAATTAACAGTCGATGATTAAAATATGCACCCATTGTAAACTTTTTCAGAAGGAATCGTACCTACTAAAAATATTTCACAAAAAAATCAGAATATGTAATTATGAATATGGCAAAAAAAAACTATAGAAGTACTGTTTTTTTTTTGTTCGAAATTATTGTATAACGACAATTATATTGGGAGGTCGTCGGTAACTAGATATCTGTTCAAAATTCATTATCATTGACTTGTACGATGTTTTTGATTTTTCATCAGAATCGTTTTGTATTTAAACACGACGCCTGATGTACACCCGTGTCAGCAATACTCTGTGGCCGCCTACACGTGACCGTGGGATTCGGAGAAGCAAAGACTGAGACTCAGCAAATTCCGGTCACCCGAGCCGCCGCGTACTCGGGCACTGCAGAACCGATCACGGAGTTATAGTGTAGTCTCACAGGCCACAGCTCTGTCGTCAATACTCACTCATAACCTCTTATCGTTCTAGTAATTTTTTTTCGTTGAAATACGCCTAATTATACGCCCGACGTTTATTAGTGAATAAATCGCTTGTCTTCATTAACGTATTGAGCGAACCGCGGAAATCACTTCGTCGGGTGTCTTGCATCCGGTCTCACGTGCACAGAGGTACTTCAGAATTAAAAAGTTTTTTTTATCGACATTGGGTAAGTACCTCTCTAACATTGTAATAAGTTGATTATGTTGATAAAATAAAAATGTGAGTAACCAGCTATATAGATAGTGCAATATAGGTATATAATGCATGTACTTTATGATATATGCTCAATTCAAAAATGATCGTACCTACTTAAAGTTAAAGACTAGTATAGAAACCAACGTCACACTACATACAGCCATTTCAGTGAAGACAGAGTTGTTTAATAGTTTAATGTAAAATATACATCACAACACATACGACACAAGTATTGATGTTTTTATTTATTAATTATTAGTATAGCTGCAGCTAGTACTTCTGAAAGTCCTCTTCCGGTTTCCATATTTCAGCTTCGTAGCGGTTCAATAGGTTAGTTAAGTTTAGGTATTTAAGTATGTTTATCAATTTTTTCAAACTAATTTTGTCAATTTTGATATAACGTGTATGACCAACTACGTCAAACATCTATTATAATGTTATAGTTGATAGGTATATTATAATAATATAGGTTATAGGATAAAGGCAGTGTACGCCACTGAGTAAAAAATCTAGAGGGCAAAGTTTAAAACTATTTGTATGGAAATTATTTTAAATTTAAAATTCATTGGAAATGTTCGTAATTTTGATGACTTTTGTCAAAATTCTACCTTTGGACGCTTATAAAATAAACTGTGGATTTTTGCTTAACTTTTTTTGGTCTGAAACAGCTAATGCGCCTTTAAAATAAAGAATGATTTTTTTAAAAAAAATTTAAATATTTTATTATTGATTATGCTATATTTATTTCATTTAATACACCACCCTTTTAATTGTCATGCATGTTTTCTATACGAAATAATTTTGATGTTCCACATCAGCTGCTAGACAGCACACTTTTTAAATTTCCTTTAATAACAGCTTATGAAGAATCTTATATTACAATTTCAAATTTTTTGACCGAGCAAATAAATTGTATCGTCAATAATTTTAAAAAAATGAATAATAATCGAAATTTTCTTATACCTGTAAATAGCTCAAAAAGTTAAAATATTTCCAAAATGTAACAATATATTAAAAATGCTAATATAAATATTCGATGAAAAGTTCATTCGTTCATTCATTTTCATTTATTCAGTTATTTTTTTTTAGAGTTACACCAAAAATAAAAATACTTTTTGCTTAAAAATCTGTTTTTCCTTATTTTTTTTTGTTTTCAAGACGCTTTTAGAAACTGAACTGAATTTTATACTTTTGATCCCATAAAGTATTAATTAGATTTGTTTTCATACCATAAAAGAATGAAATTAACTTTAAAGCACTTTTATTGCCCCAAAAAGTGATGATGACATACACAAAAAAAAAAACACACACATACATCATTGTAAAATCAATACATTTATCGCTTAGCTCAGAGTCTAAAACAATAATTTTAACTTCGACAGTTATAGGTATTGCTATAGGTATACAAAAAATTACTTTTGCATTGGTGTAATACGTGACTTATTTACCTAATTTTATGAATATTAAAAATTAGAATAATATAATATTAAAACACTATTATAACCCACTTAACAAAAGATAGGTATGACACTATGTCGTCACATTTAATCAGGCAATTGACAACATAAACATGCCACAAACAAGGCTAGCCTGAAGAGCATAGGGTTCATTGTACTATTTTAATAAAACAATTAAACATAAATTGCACGTCTCAACGGTGAAAAAGTCGAATTTGCGGATGTTCACCAAAACGAAATGGGTCGCCTAGAATACCAAAATATATACGAGATAAATATTTTATGTTGGAGACCATTACCAATTACAATCCCACTCTTAGTGCAATTGCCAATATAGGATCACAAATATAAGGGAATCCAGCACAAGAGATAGTCGGAAGGTTTGGGATATTGAAGACACTATAATACTACTCAGTGTTCTTAGAATATTGACTTACAAATATTGTAAATTTAAATTGTGTTTAAAAGTATTAGAGTAAATATCTATTATTATATTAAAGGGCCGTCAAAAAGTGTTCATATTCGAGGAGATACATATTTCAAAGTGTCGGATGATCACAAATAAGTAATAACAATAGATACCTATAGGTACTACAATGGAGACTGATAGTAGCATACTGCAGTCTGAAACTGGAATGTACTACAGTAGTATGCACAGCTTTACTTTTTGCTATATGACATTTAATGTTTCGAAAAAATGTCACAAAATATTGAACAATTTTGATTTTTTTAAATTAATTTTTACATATTTACCAATTTACGATCATATTACCTACATAATTATAGTAGATTTTACAGTAGATAGTAGATACCTTAATCTTTCTAATTACGTTCTGGATCTAATAGAAAAATAATCTATAGTAGATATTTAAAGCATAATTCAACGTTTGATATAAATTAAAATTATAAATAAATTTGTTTAAACATAATATTATAGGTATTATATATTATGCCATATGGTACTAATGTATTAAAAAAACAGCATAATTTGTAGTTTGATTTTTTTAAAATTATCTTATGAATACTTATCCAATAAAACCAAATAAAATAGAAGCACAATTATTAATCATTACATGCATGTGTGTAATTTATAAAGACAATATTAAGTACCTACTTAATTATAACTAGGGACATAGATAATAGAAACACAATTTAAATATTAAACTTTACAACACATACACAATTATGATCATAATTAAATTATTATATTGTATTTGAATGTTTTATACAGCCGGGTCTAGGTGAATTATAATAAAAAGCAAGTCGATGAGTAGTTCTATCAGATTAGGAAAAATTATATTTCTACTATTATAGTAACAATTTTTTTTTATAATTTGATATACATATTGTACCTTCTATTGTGTATTTATAACTAAAACAATAATTTCTATTGGTACAAGTACGAAGTAGATATAATGCTCAGGAAATCAATAAGTCACTGATTTTCAAAAAAATTCAATATTTATTATAGAATTAAGTAAGTATTCATGCATATATATAACAGTTATGTTTATGTGTTTTCTTATTATCAACAAAAAATAAAATTATCCATTCATTTATCCATCTGATACGCATACTTTTATACGTTGTGTATTTAAACGTCGATGTAAAATTTTTAATAACACAGCACCACAGCACTACACGATTTACCAAGATATAATATTATAGACTTTTAAGTTTTAATATAAAGAATTTCATTGATTTTTATGGTATTTACTCGTATATATAATGGACGTTTATTGTTATATTATTATCACGTATTGTTCAAATAACGTACACACAGTATGCAACATTTTTTTTTAAACAGAATTGTGTTTACGATTAAGATGAAAATTAATTCACATTATTCACAATAATATCATAATTACATTTACTGTGTACTGTTATTTGTATCAATGTATATATATAATAATATACGATATAACCATAATATTTATAATACTGTTATTAATTTCTTAGACAACTAAGAAGCGCTGTTTCACACCGAAAAGTTATAGATTGGATCATTTATACAATAAATGAATTTAATATTATTTGTTCAAATTTTGTTTTATTTTCAAATAATCGAATCGTATAAGGCCAACAACAATGGTTTTCGGACTTTCGGCTATTACGCAGGGCGATACTGGTGATAAAACAATTTGTATTAACAACTATTGAGGGGGGGGGGAGAATGATGACTGCGGCGCCCATGATAATTCGTGATTCGGTCATGTCATGTTCGTTTCGTTCCCTTCGATATTGAAAAATGAATTCCAAAAGAGCGAAGGAGTTAGTTCTCTAGGTAATTTTAAATACAATTTTGTTAGAAAACGTTAAGGACGTAGTAAAATGGTCAGTTTTAGTTCATCCTTCAACACACGAAGTGAATTCAGTTTTAAGACAAACTTTGGCAATAATAAATTCTATTTAAAATAACGTACATAATCATATAGCCAAAAAAGATAAATCTAAAATTAAATGAACAGTCAACAATTACAATTGTTACAGAATACACAAGAATCTAATTTTATATTTACGAGCAACTAGAAATTCATATCAAAGTAAAAATTTAAAAACAATATTCTTTTAAATGTTTTTTTAAAATTTAAGATTGTAACGGAGTTAAAATGTAACAGTAGTCAGTATATTATTAATATACTGTAGTAATACTACTAGTTGTCGTTTAAAAATGTTTTAATTAAATACCCGAATAAAATAAATACTATCTAAAATTGGCGATATAGCCTTAACAAACGTTCGCAATCGTTTGTTTTTCGGGTAAAAAAAAATTCTTTGATAATAAGTTAATAAGTGACATTTGTCCTCGATCGTGTTGTACCGAGTACCCACCCACGTCACTCCACCCACTCAGAGAGCTTCGTAGATACTCGGCCGGGCGTACGACAAGTTGTCCGCTCTGGTCGGCCTGTATGTCCAGGAGACCGTTTGTGACAGCGTGTGTCCACCGACTCCTCTGGAGCTTTTGGTCTTCGCTCTTTTGTGGCATAGACCTATTAACTAATATTAGTTAATAGGTCTATGTTTTGTGGCTGCCCATCATCGCGCGATCTGGCGGTTTTGACGAGTGCCACTTTCTGCCGCCCAGACATATCGGTCTCGCTGTCGCCTTGTTAATCCTTCGGCGTTCGTCCGAAGGCGAGACCATTTTTTGGCCGGTTCTCCGAATCCCGAGTGTTGGTTGCATTGCCCAGGTGTCAACCGATCGATCGCCATAGTATTACGTATTCGATGTTAGTGAGTGTTGCCCGACGGCATTAGTGTCGATGGTCATCGATCGCCGTCGTCTCAGACACATGTATTATACATCAATATATGTATTATATGTCATAGCAATATTGTAATATTATAATCGGTTGTTGTGTAATGTCATTATTCTCGTCGTATATTTGTATACCGGCGAGGTGCTGTTATCCAACCCCCCCCCCCC